CCCCAAAACCCCAAAACCCCTGGGACTGAAATACATTTGATAGGTAAAATCAAACAAGAAGAAATTTATATATTATTAATATATTAATATAATCTGTAATGAACTAAGACGAGTCAACAAAGTGCATTTAAATAGCGAAGTCAGCTATAAGTTAGAAAGACTTTGATAAAGTAAAAATTTCTTCCTTTATTATTCATCAATTAAAGGCTAAAAGATTCCTTGAAAAGAGTATGAGGTTACATGAAACTGGAGAGGCAAAAAAGCTGCTAGAAATGGTTATAAAGAGATTGAATGGAGATTCAAAGGTATTTGATGACTCACAATCGACTACCAGTCAGAGTACTCATGCTAGTACTTCTCAAAAGAAGCATGCTACTTAGCATTAATAACCTTAAGAACCACCTAATTATTCAAAAGAGGATGTAAGTATTGAATAGCAGCATCAATATTAGAGTGAAGTCTAGTTTATGACACGAAATATTAATGAGAGAATAGGAATGAAATTTATGATAATTTAAATTTTAGGTTGAGAGATGCAAGGCTATCATTAATAAGAAAGACTACTATGATATTCTTGGTGTAACTAAAACTGCTACTGAAGATGAAGTCAAAAAAGCATATAAAAAATTAGCATTAAAATTTCATCCAGATAAAAATAGGGCACCAAATGCAACTGATGCTTTTAAAAAAGTTAGCCAAGCATTTGCTTGTTTAAGTAATGCTGAGAAGAAAAGAATTTATGATTAACATGGGAGTGAAGAGAACTTCTAGTAACGCTATCAGCAATCATACTACCAAGAGGATTTTAATCCTCATGATATTTTCAGTGCATTCTTTGGCTTTGATTCAGGCATGGCAAGAAGACATCATTAAAATTAAAGACCATATCAATAGTAGCAGAGATAACATCAGTAATAAAATAGAGAACAACATAATAATCCTATGGCTTTGCTCCAAATGGGACCTCTACTCTTAATTTTGCTAGTATCTATATTAAGTAGCTTTGGAAGTATTGGTACAGGATATACAGAGAAAAGCTATGCCTTTTCTTATTCATAGACATATTAATATCCAGTCTAAGTAGTCTCTTATAGGCTAAGTAAAGCATACTTCGTAAGTTAGTGGACAGCAAATGATCTGAGAGCTGATCTTAACAAAAAATATAAGGTATGATTATTTAAACCCCATAATTTTTACCTAATTAATTCTTTAGTTGGATGAAAAAGTTGAAGATGATATTATTAAGCGATATGAGGGCAAATGTGAAGAAGCTAAGAAATAAAGATAAATGTATATTAATCTATCGAAAAAATATTCAGAAGACCTTAAAAATTACGATTACTACCTAGATGTAAATAACTTAATATTATTTTCATTTTTTAATAGAAAGCAGAACAGGTAGATGTATCTTTTTGTTAGGATATTAAGGATTTTAGGGTAAATTCAATTTCATATCGATTTTAACAAATACTTATAGAAAATCTTAAAAAATTACTAGTGAAATCGAATGTTTTTATTCGAAGAGATTATCATTAATTCGAATCTAAATAAATTTATTACAAAATTCAGCAAGTTTTTTCATTATGGGGTTTTGGGGTTTTGGGGTTTTGGGGTTTTGGGG